GTATTTCTTCCCCTTTCTGCTTCTTTTCCTCCTTCCCATCCCTATGTGTCCTCTCCCATTCCTCTTTCCTCCTTTCTCCCTCTCTTCCTTCACCCTCTCCTCCCACTCCCACGATTTCTGCTTCTTAGCTAACACCTACTCCTCTCTGACAGGGTGCCGGCCATTCCTCCGAATTTACCAGGCCATGCAACCTGTTTACACGTCTGGTATCTAGTAAGTGATCCATGGGAACGAGAGGCCAGGGATGCCCAAGGCCTATAGCTGAGGACCAGGGAGGGAGGATGGAGGCTGTCTAGACTTTTCTTCCCAAGAGGGATGAAGGGAGGAAGTGAGCAAGGTTTCCCAGCAGCCCTGGGCAGGGAGGGGGAGTGGAGAAAGCACTCAGTCCCCCACTTCCTCTGCCCATCTCTCTCCCCCAGCAACATCCCGGGAGACAGCCAGACCAGCATCTGCATCACCATTGAGCCAGGACTGCTCCTGAAGGGAGACATCTTGGTGAGTGCCACCCTCCATCTCAATGCCCCCTGTTCTCTCTTTCTGCTCCCCTCCTGCCTCTTTGGACATGACAACCTCATCTGGTGAGCTGAGGGGCTTGGAATTGTGGCTCCCAGGGCTGATGCAGCCTCCAACAGCTCTGGTCTGTTCCCCTGTCTTCCCTGGAAAGTACCCCATTCTCCAGGAGCTACAACTCAGTGTAAACTGTGATTTCCTGGCTCCTTGCTGGTGACAAGGACCCTGAAATTCTAACTTCAGTCCTGCCTGCTGCAGACAAGTCCACTCTGTTTTTATATTCCCACCTGTGTGCAGGAACTTCTTGGGAAGACGGTCTTGTTCCACAGATCAAGACTGGTCTCCATGCTGTTCTAGAATTTTCCCCAGAGAGCTCTGAGAGCCACTGTGGTTTTGGTGATCTTTCCCTCACCTGTTTGGGGTGAGCCTTGGGGCTCAGTCAGTGGAGCCAGTCAGGAGGCTCTCTGGGACCTGATCCCCCATTCTTTGTCTTCTTCCCTTCCAGCTGAAGTGCTACCACAAGAAGTTCCGGAGCCCAGCCCGAGACGTCATCTTTCGTGTGCAGTTCCACACCTGTGCCATTCATGACCTTGGGGTGGTCTTTGGGAAGGAGGACCTTGATGATGCCTTCAAAGGTGGGCTCCCTGGGTGGGGTACTGTGGCAGGGAGAAGAGTCTGGTGGGAGAAGACACATCGGGGGGTACAGGGGCCATTTTTTTTCTGAACCACATTGTTTATCAGGTCTCAGGGTGTTTTTGGTGACAGTGGAAGGGAATTGAGAGGAAACTGGGACAGAGTTGAGATTGGGGTGGTGTAGGAATTCGAGCCATAGTGGAGATGGAGCTAACTTCCTCCACTCCTCTGCTTTAATCATGTACCTCCTTCTAGTACTTGCCCATATCGCTTTTATCTCGTCCTCTCACTTTGTCCCAAGGGTCCTGTTGGCAATCATTTCCTCAGCATTCACTGGGTATTCCTTTTGTGCCAGGCCCATGACTAAGTGCTGGGGATCAAAGTAAAATATGACCTGGTCTCTGTGTTGGTGGAACTCAGAAGCCTTAAGAAGGCAAATGTAGCAGGGAACAATTATTCCACAGGGTAGAAGAGCAATAGTGAGGGGTTGTGGTAGCAGTGAGGGAGGGAGAGGGGGCTAGGGAAGGCTTCTATCCTTTTTTGTTTCTTTTTTCTATTTGAGGTTTTACATATATTATACACAGGCCCAGAACATATCCATCCATCCATCCATCCATCCTATATATACCAGCATGTGCTAGATTCTGGAGATACAAAGAGAAAGACAGCAGGCCTTTCCCTCAGGAAGCTCACAGTCTCATGATAGAGACACACAAACATGATTCTATGAAGAGATGCTCCTAGTGATGGAGCAGATGGTGCTCCATCCATCCATCCATCCACCAGATGCACCAGCATGATGGGTGTTCCACAGAGCAGACACCATCCTTCCTGTAACCTCTTCCTATAGGCAGTGGATGTCTGGGATCAGGCAGAGAACATGGAGTGGGCTGGGGTTGGAGGAGGGGTGGGTCCTTTTGACTGGTACAGGGCAAAGATGTTCTATGATGAGCTCTCCTTGCTTTGAAGCCAAGAGAGGAAAAGCAGAAGACTGTTGTAATTATAGAACTGACTAACTTTTTTCAGTCTTGGTGAAGAAAAATGACCATACAGCTGACAAATGAATAGGAGGTTGGGGAGAGGCTGGGTAAAGGGGGCTTCCCAATTCCTTCCTACATGATAGGAATCAAGACACCATCAAAACAGGACAGATTGAGAAATAAAGGCTTAACTATGGTATGGTAATCAATAGAATAAATAGAAATAAGAACCCAACTAGATTTAAGAAGAGAGGAGGTGGGAGGAGTGTGAGTGAGCCAAAGTATTCATCTTCATAGTGATGAATCATGGGGATTATTTAGATTTGACATCTAGAAGCAGTGGCATAAAATAGAGGCTATTATTTAGAGTCTTAGAGGTAAATTATTGGAGAACAAGAAATATAAATGGTTAGAAGTGGGACCAGGCTTGGGAGGTGGGGACAGGAGGATTACAGACTCAAGCCATCTCTGGCAAAAGTGTGAGACCCTACCTGAAAAACAAACTAAAGCAAAAGGGCTGGGAGTGTCGTTGAAGTGGTAGAGCACTTGTCTAGCAAGAACTCATGAGGCTCTGAGTTTAAACTCCAGTACCACCACCACCACCAAAACCAAATTGGTTGGAAGTAGTTACCTCAATGGAACTAGGGCTAGGGTGGGCAGGAGATATAATTTCATTGTGAATGCATAAATTCATGTGTATGTATACAGATAGGTATGTTAATTGTTATATTATTAATCATAGATACATGCATGACTTAATTTTTTCTGGAAGAAAACTTTTTATGGAGTCCTTTTTGGGAATTCTTTGCTCATTTTTGTTTTTTCTTTTCTTTTTTTAGATGATCGATTTCCAGAATATGGCAAAGTGGAGTTTGTATTTTCTTATGGGCCAGAGAAAATTCAAGGTATAAGTCAAGTTAGAATTCATTCTAGCATATCTTCCCTACGTCCTCACCTGTCCCTATGTCACTCCCAGCAATCTTGCACTACTCTGCCCTACAAATACCTGGTTACCTGTGATTGAAGAGTAGGCCAGCAGTAAAGGATCTGGGTATCACAGTGGACCCCCAGCTAAACATGAACCAGTGACTTAATGTCTGGATAACAAAAATAAAAAAGCTGACAGTGAGGTACTGGTTTGGACAAACTGTTCTGGTCCCATTAGGTCACTATCTTGTTATATTCAGAGACTGAGGCTTTGATGGATGAAGGGAAGAGCCAGGGCAGACACTCAAAGGTGCTGGGTGGACTGTGGGTATTTATGAAAACTGAGGTGATTCAACCTGAAGGCCAATTTAATAATAGCATAAGTCTTTAGACTCTGAGCCTCTAGACTCTAAGCCTGTAGACTCTAAATATGGAGGCCAGTTGTTCTTCATCTTATTTGAGAACAGAATGGTAGGAGATGAAGTTAGGTTATAGTCAGAGGTCTGGACTCTGGGTAAAACTAAAGAAAGGCCAGAAGGTAGCTCACCCTGGCTGGCCTGCCTTGCTGCTGCACTGTCTTTGAGGTAGCTGTCTGAGGATGGGGAGGGAACTGTGCAGGTGCCTGTCTGGGATAGAAAGCATTTTAAAGAGGGGACAAGGGCATCCCTGGGATGATCTTTGAGAGGCTCTGTCTCCTCTCAGTGTCAAGCTGTGATTTCTCTGCTGACCCCAGGCAACCCACGACAAGCTTGTTCCATTTCCCTTCTCCAGACTTCAGGGTAGATTTTGCTCTCTTGGCCCTGCCCCAGCACCCCCAGGGACACAGAAGAGAAGGAGGCAGACACCTGGCAGGGGGCCCTCCCAGCTTTCTCCTGGGGTGGGAGGGGGGGTTCATTCTTTAGTGCTCTGTCCTGATTTACCCCTATGACCCCTGTATGAACTATAAAGAATGCAAGAAACCCTACTCCTGGGTTCTCCACCCAAGTCAAGCCACTGGCTCCACCCCACCATGCTCAAGAACCTGAGAAGTCCCCTAGGGGCATCCTTGCACAAGCTGTTGGCTTTCTGTTTCTCCAGCTGCTGACCTCTTCTCTCCTCCCCAATGTCTCCCACCTGGCTCTGCTTTTCCCATCCCACCCAGGCATGGAGCACCTGGAGAACGGGCCTAGTGTGTCTGTGGACTACAATACCTCTGACCCCCTCATCCGCTGGGATTCCTACGACAACTTCGATGGGCATCGTGATGATGGCATGGAGGGTAGGTGGGGACCAGTGGCTTGGAACTTTGCGGCTCTGGCTCACATGGCCTTGGCTCTCTTGGAGAGGTCTAGAATGGCTCTCTGGAGGAGGTGGCCTTCAGTGGCACTTGCGATATCCCCTCCCCATTTGCTACATATCTTTTAAACCCATTGTTGGGTTGCAGATGCGCTGCATGCAAAGTTTTCTGAGGTCAAAGCACCAGGAACATAGACGCAGCATATAGGGCCTACATACTTTCATCAGGAGCCAACGAAAATGTTTGGGAGCTGGAAACAAACCCATGGGCTCTGAGATGTGAAGAGAAAGCTGCAGAATTGAAAGGAATGCATATTTAATTTAGTCACCAAACCTAACATTATGTTAAATGGCCGGCTGCGAGTCAGGTCAACTCTTGAGAGTCATGTTAGAGTTCCATTTATTTATGTGGCTTATTTGAATCTGGATAATGGAATGGGGGTGCAGCCATGGAAAACGAGTATGCCCACAGGAGCTTTTTCTTTTCTTTTTTGGGTGGCACTTGGGCCTCGTACCTACTGGGCAGGTGTTCTATCACTTAAACCATGGTCTGAGCCCTTTTTGCTTTGTTTTTCCAGATAGGGTCCATGCTTTTACCCATGCAGGCCTTGGAACTCAATCCCCCTACCTCCACTTCTGAAGTTGGGAATATAGGTATATGCCACAGTGCCTGGCTTGGTTTTGAGTTAGGATCTTGCTAATTTTTCCTGGACTTGCCTCAAATTGAGAGTTTCTCCACCTCCCCAGTAGCTGAGATTAGAGGCCTGAGGCACTGTTCCTGGCCTGCCCAGGAGCTCTTGAGACATCCCTCTGGGGGTTGACCCTAGGCTTTTTTTCTGAGTTGCTCACAGGACCAAAGAACATTGGAGCCAGGAGGATGATGGGGTCCCTTTCCCATCTGTTTTCAATTGGGGTAACAGACTCCCTAAAAGGCAAGACCTTCTGATTCCCCCCACACCCAAGATGTGCTCTTTCAAGGATGTCAGCCACTCACATCTCTTGGGACTCTGGGCCACATCAGTGTTAGGGGAGGAACCTCTTTCTGCCACATAACTCTGGCTTCTGCCTCCCCATCTGAAGGTTTGGACTCAGTGGCTCTACTAGGAAAGTCTTTCAGGTAGGCACCGAAATGAACAGTAGATTTCAGAGCAGACTAGAATTTAGGGACCCAATGAGGGCACATTCTTTATGTGCAACATCTCGAAGTTGGCAACCTGTCTTCACATCTACTTTAGCTCCTTGCCCCCGCCTAGGGTGCCTTCTCCTCTCCCCAGGGGCCAGTGGGTTCAAATGATGAGTCTGCTTCCGCAAGCGCTCTTCTTCCCACACACCATCCCCTTATGCCGAGTGGCTGGAGAAGTGGAGGATGAGCTGAGTTAGCTTTGAGGTCTGTGGCTGTCAGCCTCATTGTTCATTCTGGGGACGTTTGCATTTTTAACAAGAACACTTGGCAATTTGAAGGAATTTTTAATGCCTCCCCATCTCTCTCTGGTGCAGATTCAATGCGATGATAAGTGTAAAAACATTCCCTGAGCTATAAAGTACCAGGCAAATTAAAGGTAAAATGATTAAGGGCCAGAAGGAGTGGATATCAGAAAGATGGGGTCTGAGGGAAGGAAGAAGAGCAGACAGTTACAGTAAGAGAAGGCTGGGGATAGTGGCAACCAGGCTGGAGAGGAGAGGAGGGGCTGGCATGGGAGGGTCCTGGCCTCACTCTCTTGCCCCTGGCCCTTCCTCCTCACCCCTCTGATGGGATCCTGAAGCGGGGGTGGAGCCAGTGGGCCCTTTGGACCAGTTAAAGGTCAACTGGTCCTAGCAGTACAGAGGGGCTCCTGTCTGGAGGCTGAGAGGCTGGCCCTTTGCCTGGCAGGGAGCCGCTCATGCTTTGCTGTCCCCTTCACTGGCCTGGCCTGATGAGCTGTTCTGCTAGGACAGTGGCCAGGGCACAACCTCACCCTCTTCTCCCACTGTGGCTCCCTGCTGCTGGCTATGGCCCTTGAGAAGCCAGATGGTGTCCTATAAGGGAGCAGGTACCATATCTCAGCCTTGCTTCTGGCTGGTGACACTTCTGGAAGGCTCTCCATTCTGGGGCTGAGAGGTAAAAGCATTTTCTTCTTACTAATGGTCAGAGAGGGAAATGGGAGGCCTGTATGTCTCCCTTGTTGGGGTAATGACCCCTGCATCAGTTTCCTCATGTGTGAGCTGAATGGTGGAGCAAATTAGAGCCTGGGAGGGGGCGTGGCTATACAGTAGGTGGGTAAATGGACTCACAGAATGACTTGGTGCCTCACGCGGCTTTACCTGCTCTGTGTGGACATCCTGGTCAGGTGGGGCTGTCTGATGGGAGGTTCTTTGGTGTCATGGGTGAGCACAGGTGCTCCAGAGCCAGCTACTGGATTCAGACCCCAGAGTGTCCTCTTGAAGCTGCTTGCTTTTGGTCAAAGGATTGAGCCTGTCTGGTTCTTAGTTTCTATATCTGCAAATGTAGGGCGGTGATCCTACCCGTGTCCCTGGATCAGTGCAGCGACTTTTGGTGCAAAGGTCAGGAATGTGGCCTCTGGAGCTAAACCACCCAGCTTCAGATCTTGGGGCCTCAGTTTCCTCAGCTGTAAAATGGGATTCCGCCATCAAATCCCTTTGAGCACCTTGTGGGCAGCAAGAGCTGGGAAGGGGGCTGTCTTGGTGTTTCCACACAAGTCCCTGACACACAGGTGGTGATCGTGGGCAGCACCTCAGGGACGGCAGACATGGTGAAGGTCCTGAACTTGCCACACACCAACTACAATACAAGCACTTGATGGTTGCCCCCTCCGTGAGGTGGTCATAGTTAGTTTGCCTGGATGAGGAAATGGAGGCAGGGACAGTTGAATAACCTGCCCGAGGCTGCCAGGCTAGTCAGGAGCAGCTCTGGATGTGAAGCCCCATGTTAACAACTGTGCCATCCTGGGGTGGCTGACACCCCCAGACCCTATTTGGTTATCAAGTCTTAGGAGCCTGCCTGAGTCCTCACTGATCTTGAGTGACGGTCTAACCCTCTGTGGACTCCAGACCTAACTTTAGGACAGACAGGGCCACCTTTGTCTTGCCTTTCAGGATGAGGGAGGGGTTGGACGAGGTGGGTGGTGTGTGGAGCACAGTACCCTAGAGCCCTCAGGGCGCCCTGTGTCAAAAAGTTAGCTAAATATTTATGCGTAGACTGACTGAGCCTGTCCTGCCCAGGTGGCTCACTGGGTTGTGCTCTGTTGGGACGAGGGGTTCTCCCAACAGGTGGAAGGTGGGACAGAGCTGCTGTGGGAAGTGGCACCTCTTACCTTGGGTTTCAGGTGTGCTGTGGGAAGGGGTAAGGAGAAGCCAGGCCAGGACCTCTGGAGCCCCACTGGGTGACTTGGAGAGGGATGCAGGGGCACCGAGCCAGGCAGCCGGGAGTGGATTTCATCTCTGGCCTGTATCCCTCAAGCACTCTGTATCTCTACTTTGCCCCTGTCCCAGTAGCACTGGGCTCAGAAACCTTCCTTGTGACTCTAACTGAACCATGGTTGTTACCCCTGCATCCTGCCTGCAGTCTCTCCCTGAACTCCAGGCTCAACTGTTGCACCAAGAGCCCCTTTCCCATCCTGATCATTCGCAATGGCAAAATGAAGGTGGGCCTGGCGTTGTGACTGGAGAAGACCCTTTTGTGTGGATGATGGGGAACCAGCCTCCTTTTGTAGCTCCCTCTGCCTCCCTGCAGTTGGTCTGAGCCTGCCAGCTAGTGCTCTGGCTGACACTACAGCTTGAGCCTCCAGGAGCCCCATTAGCTCCTTGGCCTGAGTTCTGAGCCCCATGCCTCAGTCCCAGTGCCCCTTGGGTGGGAGTGGGGCTGTATTTTTGCCTATGCTGCACAGAGCAGTCTCCAAATTCTTCCAGAGTGTTCCAGGTCCAGCCTTCTCGGAAGCAAGCTCTGAGAATGGGGTGGGGGTTGCCTCAGCCTCTGAGAAGTCAGAGGCTGACGGGGACCCAGTCACCTCCTTGCCCATCTGCTCACTACCCCTTCCCCTGACCTCCTTGGGCATCACGTTGCTTAGAGTTTCTCACGACTTAAGGGAGAGGATGAGGAAGAGGGGTGGGCACTGGGTAGAGAAACAGATACTCAGGCCAGAAGATAGGGCGAAGGGAGGAGACAGGGGCCTGATGGAGGTAGTAAGGGTGCTGATACAGAAGAGTCTCTGGCCTGGAGCTAGAGACTTTGGGTGGTCGTGTCCAAAGGCTCTGCGGGTTTTTGTTTTTGAGAGAGGAAAGAGGGAGAGAAAGAGGTACAGCAAATAGGGAGAGAGTGAGGAGAGAGATAGAAGAGCAACAGCGCGAGACAGAGAGGCAGATGTGGACAGATGTGGCCTGTGAGGCAGGAGACTTGGGTTCTGGGTGAATTTGCTGACTCCTTGGTTGTGGGCCTTCTTTATTCCCTATAAAATGAGAAGGTGGGAGTAGATAGTGTTCTGCCCATTTCTTTAAGTTCAACCAGTGTTTCCTTTTGATGCTCGTGAGAAGCTGAGTTGGGCTGCCACATTTCTCCCACAGATCTTCCCGATTTGTGAGCTCGAGTGAGAAGCAAATGGCTTCGTGGTTGCATCAGTCAAGTGAAGCTCTGTGATGCTGCCAAAACAAATAACCTCTGTTTGCAGTGGCTTTACCCAGCAGCACGTATTTCTTGCCCATGTTACATGGCCAGCGAGGGTGTGCAGTAGTTTCTGTTGATCACGGTTACTCTGACTGAAGGTGACATCATCTCATAGATGCTTCCATCCTTGCTGCCACCATGGAAAGAGGACATTGTGACTTGCCTGGAAGTGACACATTTTCCTTCTGCTCACAGTTCATTGGCCAAAACAAGCCACATGTCCATGCTCAACTTCAAAGGGGGCAGAGAAGGGCATGGAAGATGGAAAACTAGAAATAAGATTGACCAGACCAATCTCTACTCTAGGGTTTATGAATGTGGGGTCTAGAATCAGATGATAGTGGTTCCAAGTGCTATTGTTTATTGCTGTGTTCCTTGGTCAAGTTGTTTTGGCACTCTGAGACTAAATACCTCATAAAATGGGTACAACTACTGTATTTTCCTTACAGGACTATTGCTTGACATACAGTGATATTCCATCCAGAAAGCTGTGCTGGCAGTAATTTGTGCCTGTTGTTATTACTGTGCTAGGGGAGAGATGGGACAGATGTGACTTGGTGTGAGCCTTCTTCTCCTAAGACACAACCCATGCTCCTCCTTCCTTTCTACTTTCTGGGAACTCTCAGCAGCTGGCTTCTTCCTGACTTAGACATTTAGGGTTAGGGAGGGCATAAAGAACATTCTGGAACATCTTTGCTTGCCTGGCACCGTTGAGAGATTGCACAGACATGCCCTGTGTGCAGACAGAGGCACGGAGTTTTACTGTTGAATAATATTCCATTGTGTCATATTCTATGTATTCATATATCAACATCAATTGATAAGCATTTGGGTTGTTTCTACTTTTTAGCAATTATGAAGACTGCTGCTGTGAACATCTACGTGCAAGGTTTTGTATGAATATACAGTTTTATTTCTCCTGGATCTATAGCTAGGAGCAGAATTGCTGGTAACTCTGTGGTTAGTCATTGGAGGTTTTCCAACGTGCCTGCTCCATTTCACATTTCCATGGCAAGGTAGGAGGGCTCCAGTTTCTCCACATCCTCGCCGACACTGTTGGTCTTTGGGATTCAAGCCATCCTAAGTGATACCGTTGTGGGTTTGGTCTTCATTTCTCTAATCCATGATGTTGAACACTTTTTCATGGTTTTATAGATCACTATGTATCTTCTTTAGAGAAATGCCTATTCAAATCCTTTGTCCATTTTTAAAAATTTGGTTGTCTTTTTATTATTGCATTGAGTTTCAAGTGTTCTTTATATATTCTAACAAGACCTTTATCTGATATATGACTTTCAGATGTCTTTCCCATCCTGTGGGTGGTCTTTTCACTTCTTTGTGTCATCTCTTTTGAAATTCCTTTCCTTCCGTGGCATCTTTTCTTTTGGAGTGTGGCATTCTTTGTCCTGGGGTCCCTTTCACAACTGAGACCCAAATATTTCATATTAACATCCAGTTATAAGTATTGTTCTCATTTTATAGATGTGGAAAGTAAGGCAAGTGACAGGAAGGTTAAGGACCTTGTCCAAGAAAGCATCCTGGCTAAGTGGGGAAGGTGGGATTCCAATGGGGTGGTGGTGGTGATGGGGTGGAGCCAGGGTCAGGGATTTACCCATGAGCAGGCATCACTGTTACATCACTTTGTGACCTTAATCTAAAGGATTATTCATCTACAGCCTGGAATGCTGGCCTGATCTCTTTCCAGTCTTAAGAGTTGGTGCCTGGACCATCCTAGAGAGCCTGCCCCATTACCCAGAGAGAGAGAGAGAGAGAGAGAGAGAGAGAGAGAGAGAGCCCGAGTTTCAGGTCCCTAGGGGCGGTGCAGCAAAAAAGCTCCAAGTTCTGCTTCCTAGTTGGTCTGGCTTCTGACAGGTCCTGCTTCCATTCATCCCCAGGGCTCAGGCACAAAGATGTAAGGCTCCTGGCTCAGGAGTGGGCCCCACCCTGGGTGAACATGGGAGGAATGAGTGCCACGGGAAGGTAGGGCTTAGATATATTTCTCAGGCTTTGACATTCTTGCCTGCTGAACTTTTGAGTAAAATGTGGAAGAAGTCAGTGAGAGAGTGTGCAAGATCACAGGGTATCCCAGATCATTTAGGGAAGAGTGTGATACATCAGCTACTTCTATTAGGGTTTCAGAGAGCAAGAGCTCTATAGGGGTTATCCTGACTGGCTACTGGAGAGGACAGCCTTGCTGATCTGCGACTTTGAGGTGGGTGGGGTGAAGTGTAGGGAGGAGAAATTCAAAGCTCTACTGAGAGCATCTAACCTTGATCTATCAGATTATATCAATGGCCTTAGACTGTAGTTGGAGGGATTTGAGTGAGTCACCTAGCAGAACTTCTGGACGTGAGAGGGCGGATCAACTGTGGCAGGGACACTGGCCTTCTTGCCTTCTTGGCTCCTTTGGGCAGCGATGCTGAGAAAAGGGGCTGAGGCTTAGTGTGGGATGCCTATGTAGAGACAGTACCAGATGTGGATGAAAAGGCTAGTTGGAGGATTCTGGGTTTCTTCTCTTCTCTCTGGGTGGGGAGTCCTCTTCAGACCTACAGTGTCCTGCGAATTCAGACACAAGGTCAATCTGACCTTTTGGGTGAAGGATGTGATCCCTGTGACACAGCACCTGAAGTCACCTGCCTAGTCCCACCCCCTGTGGGCTGGGGCTGGCTCTGTCTAATGCCCTCAGACCCACATGGGCCTTACCTCATGAGGCGGCCTGCCAGCTCGGGCAGCGGTCTGGCAGGGCGCATGCAGTAAGCCGATCCCCTCCCTCTTGAATGCGCCTTTGGTTTCCTAATCTCTACCATCGGCTGAAATGGGAGGCTAGAGCCACACTCAGAGGGATGGTGAGCTGCTGGGGTGGCACAGCCTGCCCTCTTGGTGTTCTCAGTGCCCAGCCTGAGGCAGGTGACGGAGTGTGTGCTCCTCACTCCCCCAAGCTCTTCCTCTTCTCCTGCCACACCTGAGACAAGTGCAACTTGGCAGACCTGTGAGTCCCCAACCTGCTGACTCTAATCATACCCCGAGAAAAGGAATTTCACCTTCTGTTAATTAAATGCTTTTCTTACCCACCTAGAGCTGTTTTCAGCCATCATCTCACCCCTCCCTTCCCCCTCCCCTCCCTCCTTTTCTCTCTTTTCCTTTCCCCCAGTACTTAGCTGATCACCTACTTCAAGTAGGAAGCACCACACTAGTCCTGGACTATAAAAATCAGTCTGGGGCTTGCCTGGGGACAGGGTGCATGGTGTTAGGGAAGTGAGCTAGCCACTCTGTCCTACAGTTGAATGGGGAAGGGTCCTGGACAAGTGCCACAGCTTCTGGGGGTGGTGACTGGAGCGGATGTCTTTGGAGAGGGACCGCATGTGACCAGGCTCTGGCAGATAGAGCGCAATGAAGACAGAATTGTTTTTTAGATTTAAAAGTGGCATGAGGACATTACTCAAAGTTTAGAAAGTGAGAGAAAGGAAGGCAATCAAGTCCACCTTGTATGCTTGCTGTGGCTGAGTAGGGTTGGGAGGGTTTGGAGGACCCTGGGGTCGAGGACAGGTGCATTGTGTGACACCCTTGGTGTCCTTCTGCCCTCATGGGTGACATTGGCCCCTTCAGCTCTGGCTGAGCCTGTTTTTGTTCCCTGTTGTTGATGGGATGCAGGCTGGCTCCCATTTTTGTTTTGTTTTCAGAGCTCCTTTCCCAGGAGATCGAGAGAAGCCCACATGCTGCAGCCAATGGGCCAGGCAGCCCTGATTTCTTGCCCTTGTAGACTTGGCCATCTGATGGGCACTCAGCACACATGTGCAGTCTAGTTGCTTTTCCTGCAGAGAGTCTGCCAGCTGGGGCACTTGGCTGCTTAAGGTTCCAGAAGGGGCCTTCATGTCCTAAGGCTGCCAGCCTCTGGCCTCCTGATTTAGCTTCTTGTGGGGAAATTTCTCCTTCTGGATTATTCTGGAGCATGCCTTGCTGGACCTGGGGTCCGCTCCCTGCCTCTGGAGTGTCCCAGGTTCTCTTTTCCATTTGCCTGGGGTGGCACACAGTGGTGGCTGAGAGAGGTCCTGGCCTGGCTTTGGGGCCCACCTCTCCCTGGAGCCACTCTGCTTCTGCTCATTTCTTCCCGCCACCTGGAGCCCTGTCTTCTGGTAGCAGAGCCCTTCCCTTCTGGTCCATTCCTCCAGTCCCTGCTTTCTGTCTGAGGGAAAGTTCCAAGACCGTTTACAGCAATGATTTCAATGGATCTGGGGTCTGGCAGATGATCAATCCCTTTCCCTTTTATGATCTCCCTCCCTCTACTTCCCCAGCTGTGCATGGATGATTCATTCCCTATAAATCTCCTTTCTTCTCTGTGCCCCTCTCCCTGGCAAAAGACTTTTTAAAGTCTTGCCAAAGTGCCTGAGCTCACAGAGCTTCAGCAACAGGCTGCCTCCACTGAAACGAAGGATGGCATCTTAGAGTGGCCCAGAGAAGGGTGGCACTGACGTCCTTAGAAGGCAGTAGGTCCTTAGACAGGGAGGTCCCTAATGGGAGGTGCTGTCATGGTAGAGAGTGTGGGCTTGGGATTCAGGGTGCTTGGGATGCCTCCTGCCTTCTGCTGGCCTTGGATGAATCATTTAGCCTGAGTCTCAGTATTCTTACCTGTAAAATGGGGAAAAGGATACCATCTGTCTTGTAGGGTTGAGAATCAAGTAGGATGAAACATGGGTGCTTAGCACAGGACTTGTTATGCAGGAAGTCATCAGTGAGTGTTAGTTTTTCCAGGTACCATGACCTGACTTTGGGTGGGGCTTAATAACATGCTGTCAGTTCACTTTTCGGCCATGCCAGCTGTTGAGCTTCTTTCTACCACACTTGCCCAGGTATATGTGTGAACCCTTCCCCTGTTGTCATCCATGCAAACCAGGTGACCCTCTCCTCTGCTCATGCTTGTGGGGGTTGCCTCCCAAGCATTGGGCATCTGTGATGGTCATGGCCTCCTCCATATGAGAACACGATCAAAATGCAGAGAGTAAGAAAGAAGATGTGATTACAGGAGGAAGAAGAGGAGGAGAGGAAACCCCAGATCCCGTGTTCTTTGGTATGTGGGCTGTTCTCACACATTCATTCATTCATTCATTCAACGAATATTGACTGAGTGCCGGCTGTCACTGTTCTAGGTGCTGAGGACAGCACGGTGAGTGAAACAAAGATTCCTTCCCTGGGGGAGTTCTATTCTGATGGAGGAAGGCAGACAATAAAAAGCTAAAAACACATAATAAGGAAATGATAGAGTGGCTTAGAAGGGGATGAATGCTCTGGAAGCAGAGCAAGGGTGATTGGGAATGGGGGGCTGGAATGGTGAGTTGAAATTTTACTAGGCCTCACTGATAAGGGGACATTTGGGCAAAGATTTGAAGGGAGCGAGAGTCAGTCAAGCACATATCTGGAAAGATGTTCCAGGTAGAGGGAACAGCAAGTGCAAAGGTCCTGGGGCAGGAAGCCACCTGAAATGTTTGAGAAGCAGCAATGGGGTTAGTGTGACTGAAGTAGAGGTTCTAATAGGAGAGAGGTCAGAGGTAATGAGGACCAGGTCACTTAGGGTCTGATAGCCATTGTAAGGATTTGGCTTTTACCACAAGCTTTTCCATCAAATGTATACTGTGAAGCTCTTTTCAAATAGCACATAAGAAAGAGTCTTCTCAGTTTTTAGCTGCATAATATTCCACTGTACCTATGTACTGTCTTATTAACTAGTATTTTTGTAAACTAACTAACCAACATGGACAATTAGGTTATTTCTAATCTTCTGTTTCCAGAAAATGCTGTCATGAATCACACTGCATATTTGTGCAAGTCTTTAGGACACATTGCTGCTTGGAAGAATATATGCAATACACAGTGTTGATATGCGGTGACAAATTGGCTTCCCTAAGGCTTGTGATAACTGACACCTCAGCTGGGTTGGGACTGGGAGGAGAATCCACCCAGCCCTTCTATGTGAACACTCCCTGTGTGAGGCCCTGAAAACACCTGAGTCCCCTTACTCCTCATGACTTTCCTGTGAGCTGCTATTTCACACATGAAGAAACAAGCACAGAGAGGTTAAGCTACCTATTGATGTTTACACAGCCAGGTGGGGGTGGAGCTGGATTCTGATACCCACTATTCATCAGCATGGCTCGTCTCATCATTTTTTCCCAAGGACAGGAGTCCTGAAGAGCCCTGTTTCCTCCAGTCCAACCCCATGCAGAATGAGAAACCATTCCTAGGGAACCCAGTTAAAAAGGGAACCCAGCCTATCTTGCTCTGCCTACTGCTGTTCCTGCATCCTGGAGGCTAGGGAGAGGCCAGCTGGGGGGTAAAAGGGGAGATAGCTGGAGCCCCAGTGGCCTAGCTGGTCAAGCCTGGCTTCTCTCTTATCCCCTCTCCTTGCCAGCCCTAGCCAGGAGGCGTGGGAGTCTGGGGGCTTGCTAATTCTGCTCTGGTGGGAGCCACCATTGCTGTCTTCCCAGTCAGCTTGCTCAGGGATTAAGTTTCAGCATTTCACCGATGGAAATAAATCAGCCTCTTCATTGCCCTGTGTGGCCCTTGGGACTCTGCAGGCTGGCGGGTATTTGCAGACTTCCTGTAAGTGACCAGTCCTGTCCTCACCCCAAGCTCCCTGGCTGCCACAGAAATAGATTTGGGGCCTGGAGCCACTCAGGCAGGACTGGCACGAAAGGGGAGACAGGTGCAGAGCCCAAAAGGCCTTGCTGAGTGGCATCTCTGAGTTGGGTCCTTGAGCATCCAGAGCTGGGCAGGGCTGCAGGGGTTGACCTAAGTGCACACTCTCACTGCTCAGAGAAGTAAACCAAGAGCCACTCAAGATGGTCCCTTAGAACTCTGCCATGACTTCAGTTTGCTGCTTTTGCTACCAGATGACACTTTCTCTAAGTTCATTGTTTTGGGAGGTAGGTGAGCCAGGGTCTTGCTATGCAGTCTACACTGGACTGACCTGGAACTCCTGATCCTCCTGCCTCAGCCTTACCAGTGCCAGGATTACAGGCATGTGCCATCATGCTTGGCTTCCATTTGTTACACAGCTGCTGGTTAGAGATGGATAGAGTGGGAGGGGCGGGTTTTAGCTGCAGCAGGAGGGAAGAAAGTCTGACAGCCGTGGGGAGGTAAGAAAATGAAGTAGGTAGCAAGACTTGCTTGTCTCGAATCTTCCCATTTCGTGAGTCTGTCTACGTGGGTTGACTGACCTTGGCTTATGGCTCAAGGCAACTTGTAAGGGTTCTAGAAGGCCTAACATATTCTCTGTGCATAGACTGCATGTTCTCTGGTGCAGGACTCGGGTGTCTTGCCGCACACTCCCTTATCTCTTGTCCTTCCCTTTCTTGGCATTATTTGTACCCATAAGACTTCTCCCAGGGACGCAGGCATCCTGTGCTGACTGGACCTGTGGACTGCTCCCTCCAGCTCTGCTGTGTCCAGGCTGCTGACCATGGCTTGCCTACTCCAGGCCTTTTCACCTGCTCTGGTGGGGGGGCCTCAATTTCTGACCACCCAGCCTTCACATCTTGACAGCAGGCAGCGCCCTGCTGCTTGTCTAAGACTTTCATCTTGTATCGCTTTGAATATGTGAAGGTTACTGCAAGCAGCCAAGAGTTCTTGATGCTTGTGCTCTTCTTTCTCTAGGGGTGATGAGGTCAGATTTTGATATGAAAGTGCAAAGCATTTCACATCTCTCCTTCCCTTCCTCCCCACCCCGCTACCCTGTCTGGACATAGCGTGAAAACCTCTGAGGACCAGGTGAGCACTTGTCCTGGGGTGTGAGGGCTGGGGCAGGTGTCTGGGCTCCTGTCTCCCAACCTTGATTGTGCTCCAGTGAGGCCTTTGGGGGTCAGTGAGGGTTGCTTCCTATTGTCCCTGGATGGACCAGCTTGGGAAAGGAAGTGAAGACCACCCAGATTCTCTACCTTTCCCACACCCTCTCATGCATAAACCACATTGACCCCTCTGCACATTACACCCCTCTTGTGCACAGAACCCCCCTCCAGCCCACGCCCCCTCCCTCCAGGGTGGGGGCTATAGTTACAAAGCTTTCCAGCCAGCCTGGTAACCAGTCCTGTGTGGAGGCTGAGAGAATGGGCCAGGGTGAGTAAAGAGTGGAGATGGACCCAGTATAGAAGGTCTGTGATTGAGGGATGTAAGCCTGCTCTGAGTCTGTAGCCCGTGCGTTTCTAGAAGTGCCCTGTGGCCCCCTGGGAGTGTCATCAGGTAGATGTGTACTATTCCTAGGGAACCACTTTAGTGGAGACAGCAGGCTTGCACCTGGCTGTTGGTGTTTGGTTCTGTGGTTCCAAACCAGCATGTGATCTATCTCACTGTCAGTCTCTGTTCCTTTCTGCTTAGCCCTAGCCTTCTGTCTCCTTTATCTTATTTCTTGTTGGTGCTTCTTCTCCGGGAAGCAGAAAGAACAAGTGCGCCTGAGTCTGACTGAGTGAGCCTCAGTTGCTTTATCTGCTAGGTGAGCAGGTATCTTTCTGGGAGTCTACCTGGAAAGGCCGTTGTGGAAGCCAACGAGAGGTATTGTTCAAGTGCAGGCATATGGATAATGACTTACTGGCCTTGTTCCATTTTGTTCTCATTCCTTTTTGCTCCTCAAGTCCCACAGCGCCCCCTTTAGCTTCTCTCTCCATCCTCCCTGAGTAAGGATGCCCTGGAGATGTGTCTGTGCTGGGAGCAGCAGGGATGGGGAGAGACAGGAGAGCAGTGGGTAGATGGCCCTCTGCCCTTCATTCAGTGTGGACATCTGACTGGGAGTTGACAGTCCCTTTCCTGAGTGAACAATCCCAGCATCTTGTGCCTCTCCCACTCTCAGGGAACATGCTCCTGAGCTGGCCTTATCTGCTGCCTTCTGGGTCCTGTGACATCTCACAGCCTGCCCAGCTCCTATAGCCTTGGGCTATTATGGTTATTTAGGTGCCCTGGGCTAGTATGGGGAGGAGGTCCTGTGGGACTCTGGGAAAATGTTTGTACTGCACAGGACACCTAGCCCAGGTAGCAGGCCCTTCTTCCCTCTCTCTCTGGGCCTCCCACACTTTGACACCAAGTCTGTCTGGGATACCCCCTTCCTCCCCACACCTTCCAAGATGCCTTCCACCCCCTTGATGGCTTTTCTTAGAACCTGAAGTTTTCCTCCACTTCCTGCCTCATTTTACCACTTTGGAAACTGAGGCCCAGGAAAAGGAAATGACTTGTCTAAGGTCAAGCAGTGTATTAGTGAGCTCATTGGAATGAGAATCCAGGACTCGGGTGTCTGTGTCCAGAGCTGGGTCTCCCACCCTGTATTCCCTCTTCCCTCCAGCTAGCTCAGGCCTTCTCAGCTGTGGCACCGGTGGCATTTTGGAGTGGAGAACTGCTCATTGTGGAGGCTGCTCTGTGCATTGTAGGTAGTTTGGCAAACCTTACCCCCTCCCAGACTCTACTCACTACTTGCTAATACCATTTCTTCTGATGTGGTAACCCAAAACATCCCTGTATATGGCCCTATGTCCTGGGACACATGGCCTGGGTGAGGATCTCTGGTCACCTGATATTGCTTACCCCTGACCCAAGTTCCTCATCTTTGCTGACCTTACCTCTCTCATTTGTAGGCCATGAGGTCACCCTTCACTGGGAACACTGCTCTGTTTCCTACTTCTGTTCCATCCACTGGGCTGCTAGAAACCAAAACACTCAGCCATTTTGTCTCTGAAGAGAAAGAGCAAAGAGCTAGGCCTGGGAAGATGCTTCTTGACCTGTCAGTGAAAATAAAGAACTTGACAGGAAGGAGCCAGGCCTCCCAAAATAGTGACTGAGCTGGGGATGTAGCTCAGTGGTTGAGTGCTTGCCTAGCATGTACAAGGCCCTGGGTTCCATCTCCAGCACTGGGGAAAGAAAAAGAGGATAAAACAAAACCCAAAAAACACTTTATCAAGGGGGTGGCCGAGGGAGGCATTGTTTCCAGTTGGGTGGGCTGGTACAGGGTGTCCTGGAGAGGGTGGACAACTCATTTGACCTGTAGATGGGAAGTGCTTCTCCACTGTGGAATTACGCTCCAGGATTTCACCTGCTTTTCACTGCTGGACCTGGAGATGTTTGTGGGTCTTTGTGCTGGGGCTCTCAGTGCCCTTTGAATCGTCTGCTTCAGGGTGTCTGACTGGATCT